GAAAGGAGGGCTGGAGTTGGGGCAGGCAGTGTGAGGGTGGGTAGGGAGGTGGGGAGTGGGGCTGGACATCTGACCTCTTATTTCTAATGGAAAGGGGCATTTGAGATCTCTCCAGCAGACCCTGCTAGGATCAGAGAGCAGGAGGGAGCCTTGGAATTTCTGGCCTCCCGGAAGTGAGTTTAAGACCTCACAGTGATGGGAGCTACAGACACAGCTCCACTACCGAGGGGGAGGTTGGGCGCTGGGAACTGAAATGGGCTGTAGTAGGGAAAAGAAGGGGAAATAAAATGCCTTACAGGATCTGTAGCTTTGTTTTTCCTAAAGCTTCTGATGCGGCCAGACGGCAGGGGCCGAAGTCCCAGTAAACTGGAGATGGGACAGAAGTGTCGCTCTGTGACTACTGACAGTCACAGTGTAGCAGTTAGTTAGTGAAGAGGTACTGAATGTCCCCGAAAGCCTGCAGAAGCCAACTCAGAGGATGCTTCTGACCGCCCCCCCCCCCCCACCCCCGGCCCTGATTCCTGATTTGCTGGGAGTCAAGCAAGCCTTGGCAAGCACATGTGTAGTATAGAAAGCCACTTCGCAAAACAAAAGGAAACTCCCCTGGGCATATCCTTAATTCAAAAAAAACCGAAGCCCTTAACAATCTGGTGGGTATGAATTTAGCCTTCTGGTCCTATTTCCCCGTAAGATACCTCAACACGTCCTGTCTTTTCACACCTTTGTGCCTCACATGCCTCCCCAGCTTCACAGTCTAACCTTGCAAGGCTAGCCAGGTGTCACCCTCCCCACCCAGACTTTTTGGGAGACTCTCAAATTCCTCCCCTTTCTTCTTCTCTGGATTCTTATTACTCTTTGTTTAGAACCCTGTGATAGCACAACACTTGGAAAAAACCCTAAACTGCCTATTCCTTGCACCTAAACATAAACTCTTTGAGGCAGAGACTCTTATTTGTCTTAGACTAACTCAGTCCTGTTCCGAGGAGGGAAGGGTACACGTCTTGCCCCCTCGCCCCAGTCCTGCCATGCCTGGAAGGTGGTAGAATCTCAATAGCTTTTTGCTGCATAGCATTGATTCTGGGTTAATGGGATGAACACATTATACAGTAGACCGACCTGTCTCTTCTTCCCCTCCCCACCCTGGGCAGTGACCCGCTGTTTGGCTGGTACACCTTGCTCCTGGCTCCTTCGTACTTATGGCAGGGGGCACTGCTGTTTACTTTTCTTAGTCCTGACCCCATGTTCTCCCTTTGATCTCTGCCGCCTGCCCCAGCTCGCCCCTGCCATTGTCCTCCCTGGAGCTAATGTTCCTCCTTCCCAAGCTGGAGCCTCTCCACCTCCTTCTCCTTGCATGTTGTGAGGATAATGCCTGCGGAATCAGTGATGATGGGAAAGGCTGGAATAGGATAGAGGGATGGCCTCAGCCCCTGAGGGTTCAAAGTGGAGCCAGCTTCTCAGGTAGCACCTCCATTTTGTCTGCTCCCTGCTTTCTTGTTCCTTGAGAGAGCTTGCTCCTGAGCTGGATGGGAGTTTAGGCAAGTAAACAGCGATGTGAGGCAGAGAGGGCTGTGATCCCGGGAAAGGCTGGGTTGCCCTTTTGACTAAAATTCTGCTGTTCAGAGAAATAAGCAGGGTGGTCACTATATGCATGGGCCCCAAAGCCCACCTATCCGAGTTCTAATCCTGCTCCGTTGCTTACCAGTTGAAACAACCTCAGTAAAAGGGGATCATACTATTGCTTGCCATGTTCATTCATTCACATATAGTTTTTTTTAATGTTTATTGATTTATTTTGAAAGAGAGAGAATGCCTGCATGATAGGAATAGGCAGAGAGAGAAGGAGAGAGAGAATCTGAAGCAGGCTCCATGCTGTCAGTGCAGAGCCTGACACAAGGCTCAACCCCACAACCATGCAATCATGATCTGAGTCAAAATCAAGAGCCAAATCCTTAACCGACTGAGCTACCCCGGCGCCCCAATTCACAAGTAGTTACAGTTGTTCTAGGTACCAGGGAAATAGCAGTGAATAAGACATAATGTGTTAATAACATTTAAATTCTTAAAATGATAGCTAGCACGTAATAAGTATTCAGGAAACGTACCCATATTCTCTTTGTAGTACTTTTCGGAGGATACTCAGGTGTGGTGACTTTTAGCAACAATTGCAGGACCAGGTCTCCCTGAGACAGGGGAGGATGGAGGAAGGCCTCAGATACAGATTCTGTATTTGGACTTATGTTCAGGACAGCACTGGCTTTAGTGGCCTTCCATTTTGAGACTCAATACAGAAGCTGGCTAAAAATCACCCTAGAAAATTCATGAGTCTGTTTAGTTCCATAGAAAGGGCAGGAGGGGGTGACCTGGGACTGCCTACATCCTGCCTAGCCCATTCATCTAGACAGCACTGTGCCCACCAAGCTGTGTGTGGAAGACCCAACAGAGGCCACCTTTCTTTTCTTTTTTTTAAATATTTATTTTGAGAGGGAGAGCATGTGCACACATGCGTGGGTAAAGGACAGAGAGAGAGGGAGAGATAGAATCCCAAGTGGAGCCTGACCCTGGGCTCGATCTCACGAATCTCGAGATCATGACCTGAGCCGAAATCAAGAGTCAGACGCTTAATGGACTGAGCCACCCAGGGGCCCTGTGAGCCCACATTTCTTGAGCAATCTGGAGACATGAGACATAGGAAGGAGAATAGCTATTGACCTCTCCACTGTCAGGGCTCTTTGGCTGTAGAGTAGAGGATGCTCTGCTGGATGAGGTGGCTTGCAGAAGCTGACATTAAGGAGAGTGAGGTGAGGCAGAGGTGTGTGGCCTGATAGTTTGCCTTCCCTGTTTCAGCTTGTTCCTCACGGCTGTTTTACTCCTCATGTGATTATTGGCTAGAAGCAAAGTTTTGACGTAAGTCTCCTGATTTGTTATCTGTGGTTTCCAGTGAAAGTCCAAGCCTGATATAGTCCTTATGGAAGTAGGATTGGAGTACAAGTGTGTTATATTTCCTGGGCATCAACAACAAGCTTGTCAGCCACCACCCTACTCAGGGAAAGATACTCCTGACTGTGGTTCAGCAACTACCTCACTGCTTGCTTCTCCTACTTTCTCTCTTCCATCCTTTGCCCATGGTGGGCTTTCAGAAAAGAATGCCCTTAAAGCACAGAGCAAGTGCCCTTGACTCAAGATGTGGGTCAATCCAGGATGCTTGGGTTGGTGCCCATGTGAGCTGTTGGCACGGCTCTCAGAGACCTGCTAGCTTGGCTGGGAACCATGACTCTTTGCATGCACAGGGACAGGGGAAGTAATTCTGGGTCCTTTCCAAGATTCTGAAGTGCAGCCAGGCTTGGGACCATGGAATACCATACTCCTTCACCTAATTTTTTTGCCTTTCTTCCATCTTCAGCCATTAAGCCAAGTGTATGAAACTTGAACTAGGCAAAGCAGTTTCCTGTAGATATAAATGCATGGTTCATTCACAAGGAAGGAAACAGAGTGTGATGATAGTGGTATTTCTCAACTTTTTTCTCATTGTCACTTTGACCTTGCTAAGGAACCTTTCTTAAATGTTTATTTATTTACTTTGAAGCGGAGGGACAGGGGCGGAGGGGCAGGGAGACAGGGAGGGAGAGAATCCCGAGCAGGCTCCTCGAGTTCAGCACAGAGCCCCACGCAGAGCTTGAGCCCAAGAACCGTGAGATCATGATTTGAGCTGAAATCGAGAATTAGACACTCAACCAACTGAGCCATCCAGGTTCCCCATAAGGAACCTTTTAAGACACTTTTTCCTAATCACTCCCTCTCAAGAAATTTTAATCCCACAGATATACTGAAATTCTGTATGTCTTATCTTTCATACTTAAAGTTTTTTTAACGTTTATTTATTTATTTTGAAAGAGTGTGTGTGCACGCACATGAGCAGGGGAGGGGCACAGAGAGAGAGAGAGAGAGAATCACAGGCAGCTCCATGCTGTCAGCACAGAACCCCATGTGAGGCTAGATCCCACAAACAGTGAGATCACAACCTGAGGTGAAATTGAGAGTTGGACACATAATGGACGAGCCACCTAGGTGCCCTGATCTTTCATACTTTAAAAGAGTGGAGCGCCTGGGTGGCTTAGTCGGTTAAGCGTCCGACTTTCGCTTAGGTCATGATCTCGCGGTTCGTGGGTTCGAGCCCCGCATCGGGCTCTGTGCTGACTGCCAGCTCAGAGCCTGGAGCCTGTTTCAGTTTGTGACTCCCTCTCTCGCTGACCCTCCCCTGCTCACGCTGTCTCTCTCTCTCTACTAGAATTAAATAAAAACATAAAAAAAAAAAATTTTAAAAGAGTAAGATGTTTTTACTCCTCAAGAACCAATTTTCTCCCCTCCTGGGGGAGCTGTCACCCCCATTTGCGGGTTCAGGGATTGTAGTAAAGCACCATGGGATTGCAGTAAGAAATGTAAAATGGCAGGGAAGGCTTCGAAGCTTTGCAAAATTTAGTTCTCCCATCTTCTCTGTCTGAACTTCACAGCTCCGTAATTTATAGTCTTGTCTCTCAGTCTGTCCTTCCCATTTTGCTCTTTCTCTGCTTTCCTGGATTTCATCCTTTTTCTCTCTCTAGTGTGGAGTTGTAGGAATGAATTTAAGTAAAACAGTCATCTGTACAGCTCAGGGACAATTTAGGGAAGAAGATTTCCTAAAACAGTCCTCAAAGAGGTCATCCCTTTGGGAGAAAGAGCCCAGAGACCCATGGGTACCCTAGGGGTATTTATAGGAAAATATAATAGACTTTAATATCGGGGGAATTAAAGATAGACTCTTGGAGTTGCCTTTCAGACGAGAGGAGCTCACAAGAGGTCTTATATTGTTCCCAGCAATATATGGATATGGGTGTCCTATACTGGATCTAACTTCCCTATATAAAGTCTTTTGGGGTTGACATCATTTCTGCCAGTGGGCTATCAAACTCCTTTTTTTCTGGCAACAGAGTATAACCAATGACAGCATCTCCTCTCCCCTATAGAAACTACCAGAGGCATGCAGCATAGGTGATGGAAGACCCTTTGTCATGAATTTACAGAGTCTGTATGTGGCAGTCACCAGACAGGAGATCCAAGTGAGACAGGAGCATCAAAGTGCTGGTGAGTAGCTCCGAGGTTCTTGGTCTCCCTGGGGTTAGAGTTAAGTAGGTTTTAACTCTAGGTCTGTGCTGTCCAATACGGTAGTCATAATTTAAGTTTAAATTAATAAAAATGAATAAAGTGCAAAGTACATCTCCTTTGGCCACATTTCAAATGCTCAATAGCCACATGTGGCCAGTGGCTACCAAGGCAGATGGCACAGATGCAGAACATTTCCATCATCGCAGAAACTTCTGTTGGAACTGGTCTAGGTGCTTAGGAGAATTAGTGCGAGGACCAGGAGAAAGGTTTATCTCTCTACCTGAGACGTGGTAGGAAATGTCTGTTGAAGAGCAGTTGGCTGTTTTGAGTCAAAGAAGCTCTTGTCCTACCCAGTTGAAGTGGACCTGGGGAATCTTCAGAGCAGACACAGGGCTTTCCAAAAGTCAGCTGGAAGTTGGATTTGTGGCCACTTCTGTCTGTTTATATCTTAGTACAAAACCCTGGCCTTTATCAGAATGCTTGGTAAGTGCTAATTAATGCTTTCCTGGTAAGAAGAAGACACTTGTCACTGTCTTCTCTTGATCTTTCTGATTTCAGGAGATCCTCAGCCCTCAAGCAGTGCCTCTTCCCCACAGGGAACTGAAAACCAGCTTCTGAACCAGCCAAAAGAGCCGGTCTCCTCAGCACCATCCCTCCCAGTGCCTGAGAAAGAGCCCACAGTGAGTCAGGCACCTGTAGTCCCTGAGCCAGAGGCCCTTGGAGTGGTCACCTCATTGACACTGCCTTAATACTACACAAATCCTGGAGGATATTTGTGACCAGGCCTCCAGATCGTGGGTTTCTACATGGAGAGTCATGGTCTTATGCATCTTACCTTGGTATTTCTTCTCTACAATTCCAGTACTGACTGAGGGACCTTGACCCCTTCTCTCCCTTACCCCACTTCCAGTGACAGTCTGGGAGGTTGTTCCCTGGGGGAGAAGGGACGTACACATTGCATAGGGTCTTGTGTCACATTCACGGCCTGACAGAGACTTCAGAACACCTGTGTCCGCCTCTCATCCCAACCAGAGTTCAGGGGAGCAACCTAAGCTAAGTGGAACTGTTCAAAACCTCTACTAACTTGGATTCCTTTTCTTTCTAGGGTCCTTCAGGCCCCGTGAAGCGACCTCAGCTGTCAAAGGTCAAGAGGAAGAAGCTGAGGGGGCTCTTCAGTTAACCTGTCGCTGTCTCAACTGCTGAGGATGGACTTGGAGAAGAGTTTCCTAACGTCAGCCTGAAAGGCGCTCTCATGTCAGGAGTATCTCTGACACAGAGTTATATAGTCAGAGGCCCCAGTGCAGGGGCAAGATAGCTGAAGTCCATGTTGAAAGGCATGGGTACTGTTAACCGAGGGAATCTTGGCTCTAACCCGTTGGCCATTGGCCTTCCCTATCCAAGTGAAAGCCAGCTTCTGAGAATCCCATACCTCCCTCTCTTTTGGTGGAGGCTCTCCAGACCTAGGGTCCTGCCATGGATGTTAGGCAACGACAGGGCAAGTCCGCAGAAAGACACAACATGCTCAGGAAGCCTGTCCACCTTTCTTAAGAGCCCCTAGCCGGTTCCAGTGCTCCTCGGAGATCCACTTCTCTCGTCAGCATGGAATAAAAAGCACTCACATCCCCCTGCTTTCGAGATTGCTTATTCTGTGGAACACGTAACCAACCTATTTACTGGGCCCCACCCATTGTTGTCTCTAGGTGAAGTTCAGGCCCTCAACCTCTCCTTCACATTCTCCTCATGCTTCTCTTATGTGGCCTGAGCTAAGCCTCCATCTGGGAACTTTGATCTGGAGGACTCCTTCCATGGTGGGTACAACACAGAACAGATTGCTGCTGCTCTCCTTTGCTCAACTTCATATGGGGTGTTTTTTTGGGTTTTTTTGTCTGTTTCCAAGGCATAGACAACAGACTAAACCACAGCATGGGACTGAAATTATAAAGAGCTCCGAGCACAAGGGCTGAGGTAGTTTCCCGCTGGAGTGGGAGAGAAAGGAATTTTACTTTCCCGTCCTTCATGCCACTTCAAATAACATAGTAACTAGAAGAACTCAAGAAGATAGGACAGCAGGGAACAGGAATGGCCAGAGTTCTCTGGGACAACTGAATTGGCCTAGAGAATGAATAGTGCTTAGCAGGAAAAAAGGCAAAATTTGTATGAAACAGGCAGAATCTTAGTTAAAAAGTCAGCTCTTTGGACAGATCTGGCAAGATTTAGCAGACCAGGATTGGCAAAGTCCTGTGGCCTTCTCTCCTAGGTTTTCTCTATGGGCAAGACCGTCTGAAATATTATTTAGGAGAGACAGGAAGGAAAGTAGAACTCAGATGTTCACTGGGAACTGTTAGGTAGAAGAAGGAGTGGGGGGCAGAACCCACGGGGGACTTTTCTGGTTTATTATGATGGGCAAATGCCTCCTCATTCCCATGTCTTCTCTGTCTAGGATGGGTGTTTCTGTTCTTATGTCAAGTCATGGGGAAGAGGACAATCCAAGCAATAATAAAATAATAATGATTACAGTAAGAACAGCGATAATAATAAGCAGCTAAAAGTTACTGGGCAGTTAATTTATACAAAGTACTCTAATAACTACCTGTCATTGAATCCTCACAGCATCATATGAGGAAGATACTGTTAACCCATAGGAAACACAGTCTTGAAGTGATTAAATGAGTTATCAAAGGTCACACAGCTAATAGTAAGAGCCAGCATTTGAACCCAGACCTAAGTGCTTCACCGCATCCGTATGTGCATTACAGAAAACGTTTTCCAGGAAGGGCGTCAGGCCTTCTTTCCTATCTTCCACTGCGACTGTCCTTCTCCTGTGACCCTGCTTCCTTTCCATAGGATCCTGTAGTTCCCATCGGCTCCTCACAGCAGGGGCCTTTTAGGACTGTGGGACTCCAGGACCCCCGTGCTTTTACTGACTAGCCCAGCCTGAGAACTCCACCAGGGCTCATTACCAGGCACCACCGATAACTCTTCACCTCCAGACCACAGTGCCCCACTATCGTGACTCACTGAAGCAACCTGAGGACTATGTGAAAACAATCTATCAGATGACTCGCTTTGTTCTTTAGTTTCTTTTTGATACAATTTAGAGAGCCAGATTTCAGCATCTATAGGATTTGAGACCACATGGAAAATAGGAAGACTTCCCCAGCAAGTGGGGAAAAAAATAAGGGTTCTTCACCCCGCATAATCCTTCTGCCCTAAAACCATGGCCTCAAGAGCATGCATTTTTAATCAGAAGGGGATCAGGGGTTTGCGAACCCCCTAAAATTGTAAGAAAAATTCTAAGAGCATAACTTTTTCATGTTCTCAAAAGAATGCGTGACTTTTTGAAAAGGTTAGGAGCATGCCTAATGATCTCCCTGCCACTGACCCCCTCTACCCCAGAGGTGGCAGGCTGCATGGCGATATTGCCTAAACACATCCTTGGAGAAACGTTGCTCCCAGACACTCTGCCTCAGGTATTCTTGCCCCGAAACCCTTGCCCCCCAGAGCAAGGGGTGGTGGTTGAGAATCCCTGGGCAACACCAGGGAAATCCCTGCCTGGACAAATTGGTCTCACCAGGCTGTATTCCAGCCCTGCCCCCTGGCTTGGGCCCCTCCCTGAGGCCCCCAGCCCGGCCCAACCCCCACCCCACATGCACATAAAAGGGTTGAATTCTCGTGGCTGCTCCATAAATTTTATTCCGTAAATATTAGTTTTCCCTGTGTTTAATAAAGCAGTGGCCCACCTCCCCGCCTACCCGCCCGCTCCCCGGGGCCGGGGCTGGGGCCAGGGCTGGCTGGTGGGAGAAGGGACTCTTTCAATTGCTTTGGAGTATTTTTAGAAAAAAAAATAATATAAGGTGGTTTACACGAGCAAGCCAGCAAACCAGGAGCAGGACTAGGGACCTCGAGGAAGTTCCTGCAGCAACTTGACCTAAAAATAGGGAAATAGCGCCACCTAGGCTGCCAGGCCTACTTGGCCCGGCTGGCTGACTCCCCTCCCCCGCACAGTCAGCTGGGACAGGCAAGCTCTTTGCTGGAAGGGAAATCTTCATCCCTTAGCACTCCAGCTGGGCAGCATCTCCTTTAGTTAGCCCTTACTGAGGGCTTTCCCAGCAGCCTCAAAGGCAAAGCCCCAGCCGCCTCCTAGAAAAATCCCACAGGGGTCATTCTCTCTGTATTGTGGCCCCTGGTCAGCCAGTCTCCCAGATCAAGGAGTGCTTCCAAAGGCTGGCAAAGTGATTTCAGAAGGAAGGAGGGAAGGAGCTTCTAGTCTCCACTTTCCTACTGAACCTCGAGGAGCTCGCCCTGGAATTCCTCGGGTGTAAGGTAGCAAAGAGAGAGTTGTGTTCCTGCACTCCAGCCCAGGGAAGAATCTGTCCCTGTCAGACCAGGTCCTTCCACAGGGCTGATGCAACTCACCTACTGGGAGCACTTGGGGAAAGGAAAGATGGTCAACTGTCCTGAATACTCAGCCCTACTGATGCTTAATCTTATCTGGTGGTACATTTGAGCCCCCTTTTCTGCCTTCCTATTCATTAAAACCTCCAATTTTCCCACGCCCTTACCTCCCCTTGCACTTGTCTGCTGGGAGATGAGCAGGAGCCTCATGTGTCATTCTCTGAACTGAGATGGCAGGAGGAAGGGGATGGAAAGCAACAACTTAGTCTCATTCTTGATATTGTCACTGGGGGCAGCTCCTTCTCTCTAATCATTCTGTCCTCCATTTTCTCCTGTTTACCAAACTAAAAAGATTTGCTCCACAGAGTACAGGGGAAACCTAAAATCCTCCTGGTAAGCCTTCCTCATGATGCGATAAAGTCATATTATCAGTTCTACCTACTCCTTCACTATCTGTGCTATTAATGCTATCTGTGTTTTATACATATTTCCTATGTGCCTTTCGTTTCCATCCTTTCATTAGATTATACTCTTTGAGAACAGGGTCAGTTTTTAACCCTAACTCAGAAAATATCACCGTGGTGGTATTATATTACCAAAGGATGCAACTTGATGTTAATTGGGTTTTGATAGGACCAGGATGTATGCCTTGCCTTGCCTTGCCTTTCCCTTCCCTTCCTTTTCCTTCCCTTCCCTTCTTTTTCCTTTCCTTTTCTTTCCTTTTTCTTTTTCTTTTTTTCCTTTCCTTTCCTTTCCTTTTCGTTTTTCTTTTCCTTTCTCTTTTCTTTTCTTTTCCTTTTCTTCCTTTCCTTTCCTGTCCTGTCCTGTCCTGTCCTGTCCTGTAAATTTCTACACCCAATGTGGAGCTTAAACTCACAAACCCAAGATGAAGAGTTGAGTTCTCTATGGACTGAGCCGGCCAGGTGCCACAGGTTGTATGCTTTTCTAAGCTCTGTCTTGAAGTATTTTCTATATTCTAGCTTTCCTGAGGAAGAAACTATTCAAAAGGAGAAGTGACCCTGCTACAGGGAAGCCTCCAGACTCAGAGCCCATGGCCCTGAGTTCCTAGTCCCTGTTAACCAACATCAGTAAATGTGTGGGCTCACCGAATTGCAGTGGGTTATGCTGGGCACTCAGTTACAGAGAGAAATGCCAGAAGGGAAGGGAGCTCCACTTTGGAGGGAGAGTTTTCCCTAACTGCCATGCCCTTCTGGAAGCTGCTACCAGTTATTCTTTTTGTGTGTTCCTTATTGCTCTATTTTTTCCCCCATGTGCCGTCAGACAGGGTCTCAGAAGATCCCACCCTGTGGGGAAACCTCCTGATGGGGAGAGTATGAGGTAGCTGTGTGTGTGTGTGTGTGTGTGTGTGTGTGAGGAGACCTGGGAATCCTTCACTACTTAACCTAGAAGCCCATCTATCCTCCGTCTTTCATCCCAGACCCTTGGAGGAATCCTTTTCCGTCTCCCGAGACTCGACTTTATGGTGGTCTCTTATGCTTCCCCTCAATTCTGAGGTGGCATTACTTTGCCCTGGCACAAGGGGAAGTCACTGGGTGGCACCACAGCATTCCAGCAAAGGCTCAATCATTCTTCCAAGCTGTTAACTCCTATCTGCACTTGGTTTCTCTGTCCTGGAGCCCAGCAACTTCTGTTGTGCTTTCTACACTCCTGGACCCTTTGAATGACTGTTGGCCTCTCAGCACCTAACTCTCATGGGTTCCTGAGAGTCTGGGCCAGCTTAGGGGAACCCGGAAGAGGCATTGGAAGGACTCCAGGGTGTGGGGAGCACACAGCCATTGACTCACCTGGGAAGATTGTGCCAGGATTACTTGTCCTGCTGGGCCAAGGGCCAGGAGTTAAAGGAGCATGCAGCACCACACTCTTCCTCCCCTCACTTGGGGGCCCAAAGCAGAAGCAGGGTTAGAATTGGGGAGTAGGGCTTGGGGGCTGCTGGGAGTCCCTTCTGAAATCTGGGTGTTATATTTACTTTTTCATATTGGCAGCTGGAAGGGGAAGCCCATCCCAGCTCGGCATTGTTGTCTAACATGGTTAATCAGATTCTATAATCCTGCTGTGGAAATATTGGGCCTCACTCAAAACAATAGAGACCAAGAATATTGTGGTTAAACTTCAACCAACTGCCTCCCTGGCCTGTTTGCCTAACCCCTACCCCCCTCTCCCGGGCCAGAGTCCTCCTCGCTTTATGGACCCCTGATAGGATCGACAGCCGGTCA